CCAGCGCGGGTCCCAGCCCGGCGCGGTCCCAGCCCGAGTCCGACTGCAGGGCGCCCGCAGCTCTGCGCCCCGCCGCCGCCCGGCTGCCTTTATACGGCGGCGGCGTCCCGGCCCCGGGGAGACAACAAAGCGGGGATGGGATTTCAAAGCGCGGGGAGGGGCCGGCGGTGCGCGGGGCGGGAGGGGGCTCGGCTCCCGCCCCTCCCGCGGGCCACCTTCGAGGGACCGTGCTGGCGGCGGGACCGGCCGTCCTGCGCTAGGCGGGGAATTACTTGCATCTGAAACCCTTTCCGCAGCCCAGCGGTGATACTCACTGCAAAGTCCTTTCCCTCTCCCCTCCCCTAAGCCAGTATTAGTTTATTGTGTACGCGAACAATATTCAGTTTAAAACATAACCTGATCAGCAGTTCGAAGGCTTTAGGGAACAGCTCTGCGAGAGGACCAGGTGCAAGCTGCTGGCCGAGCCTCTAGCTTCGCGACGTCCAGACCTGCTGAGCTCCCGGTCTTCAGATTCCTCCAGTTGCTTCGCCCCACCCCGCCCCCGACCTCTCCTTTCCACTTTGAGAAAAATGTGCAAAGAGAAGAAAATTTGCACATCAAACGGGGATAAAAAGGGAAAAGGACTAATTCTCTTTTGATGGGAAGTTTAGAGAGGGAGGCGACAGACCGGGATTTGGAAATGAGATCGGGGTGGAGGAAAGAGGGAAATGACCCTCCTCAAGCTGTTTAATGTGGCGCTTTGACTCCAGTGGGTCGCGCAGTAGATGAACTTGATTAGGCAGACAAGGGAGATCAAAGCGCCCGGAGCCAGCTCGGACAGGGTCCACCGTGCGGGTCAGTCGTCGCTCCTGGGTCCCTCTTCTCGGTGGAGGACTAATGGACGGAGATATGAAAACCAAACCCTCAGGGCCTGATTTCCTCATTAGTGTTTCCTATCCCAAGTCAAACCCGTCCCTGGAAGAAGGACCCCACCCCAGGCTACCTCGTGGAAGAGGACAGCTGGAAGTGAACCAAGGAGAGAATTTCACATCACTTAAATCAGTGTATCAATCTAACAAAGCATCTCTGCTGTAAAAGAAAGTCGTCATGCTTTTAAATTTTTAGTCAATAAAAACATGTTAGAGCCCTAGTTCCCTGGTGTCATTGCTCTTCCATCCAGGCTATTTTTTTTCTTTTTTTTTTTTT